GATGGGGTACTTTTTCTTTCGTTTGAGGTTATTTTGAAATGTATATTTTTTTGTTCTTTGTTTCTGTCTTGTGTGTGTGTGTGGTCGCGTTTTTTTTCTTTTCTTTTTTTTTATTATTTTTTTTCTTTTTTTTTTTTACTTGGTATTTTCGTTTTTTTTTTTCTCTCTCTCTTTGTCCTTGTCTCCCTCGATTGAGTCTTTGATACAGTGTCTTTTTGCAGGCCAGTCTGTCTGTCTCTTTCTCTCTTTCTCTCTCTATCCTCTCCATCTCTCCATCCGCACTTCTCTCTCTGTTTGTCTGTCTAGCAGTCTGTTTCTCTCTGAATTTATCTATCTAATCACAAATATACTTATTAATTCATCGGTTTCCCCATCTCTCGCTCACGTTTCCCCTCTGTTTCATTCTCTCTTTCCTTTTTTTCCCCTCCGTTCTCCCTCTGTTCACCCTCCTCCTATTCACTCGCTTTTCTTTTTCTTTCTCGAAATCCGTATAACAATTTTATTTCTGATTTCCTCTGACTCAAAATCTTTACTGTTTTGTTATGTCAATCAATCTTTGTCTATCTGCTCCTCACCCTTTCTCCTCTTTGATCTCTCTTTCTCTTTCGGTCTTTGTCTCTGCCTCTGTCTGTTTTCTCTGTCTATCTCTCTTCCTCTACCCCCCCCCCTCTCTCTCTCTCATTCTCAAATATTCTTTTAATTTCTTTGCCACACATTTACATATTTTTCTCTTTAATAATAGATAACAACAACAAAAAGGAAGCTGATGATTTATATGTCTATATTTTGTCATGTATTAACTGATGAACTTATTAAATTTGTTATATTTTTCATATCTATATTTTCCATTTGTTATTTAATGAACGTATTATCTTGATTCTGTTTTTTTTCTATCTATATATCTTCCATTTATTAATGTTTTTTTTTTGTTTGTTTGTTATTTCTCTGTTGATCAATCTTAACCATTTACCTATCAAGTACTATCTATAAATCTTATTTTGGATGCAATAATTTAAAATGAACAAAATTAAGCACAGAACTTTGTATCTATAATCGTTCAAAATAAATAAACAGATAAACAAACAGACAATAATATCGGAGAGTCTGAGTAGTCTACATGGATTTAATCTAGCGGATTGAAATAGACTAACTTATATGCAAATGACGCGATGTTGTTGACCTAATTAGAGAGACCTACCATTGGAATAACATGAAATATATGAGTAGCTTACAACACGGTCAAAATTTATTCAGAATATATCGCACACATTCATCTACGTACATGTCCATACACCTGTATTCATGAATACACACGAACGTACATATACGCACATGCAAACACACAGACAATCACAAACTAACACACATGACAATATACGTTTATACACTACCCGCACATACACGTTTACACTCTTTCTCTCAAACAAACAAACACACACAATATAACATAAAACAAATATATACTCACAATACATCCGAGCACAGTCACAGAAACCCACATACACGTTTACACTCTCTCTCTCAATCAAACAAACAAACACACAGTATAACAATAAAACAAGTATATACCCACAATACATCTGAATGAGCACAGTCACAGAAACGCACATACACGTTTACACTCTTTCTCAAACTAACACAATCTAACATAAAAAAAAACTTTCTGCACTCTCTCTCAAACAAACAAACACACACAACTAACAATAAAACAAATATATACTCACAATACATCTGAATGAGCACAGTCACAGACATACCCGTTTACAATCTCTCTTAAACAAACACAATCAAATAAAAAAAAAATCTACACTCTCTCTCAAACAAACAAAGACACACAATTAACAATAAAAACAAATATACACTCACAATACATCTGAATGAGCACAGTCACAGAAACGCACATACACGTTTACAATCTCTCTCAAACAAACACAATCTAACATAAAAAAAACTTTCTACACTCTCTCTCAAACAAACAAACCCACACAACTAACAACAAAAGCAAATATATACTCACAATACATCTGAATAAGCACAGTCACAGAAACAGACATACACGTTTACACTCTCTCTCTCTCAAACAAACACACACACACAACTAACAATAAAACGTTTACACTCTCTCTCAAACAAACACAACCTAACATAAAAAAAAACTTTCTACACTCTCGCTCAAACAAACAAACACACACAACTAACAACAAAAACAAATATATACTCACAATACATCTGAATGAGCACAGTCACAGACATACCCGTTTACAATCTCTCTTAAACAAACACAATCTAACATAAAAAAAAAACTTTTTACACTCTCTCTCAAACAAACACACACAACTAACAATAAAACAAGTATATACTCACAATACATCTGAATGAGCACAGTCACAGAAACGCACATCCACGTTTACACTCTCTCTCAAACAAACACAATATAACATAAAAAAACAAACTTTCTACACTCTCTCTCAAACAAACAAACACACACAACTAACAACAA